AGCTCGTATAACACTCTCATCGAACCCTCCCACATCTAGGCTTAGTGCACGCAGAACGACACCCCTCTGCCCCCCACCCCCTGTACTACCCTACTTAACCAATACCTAACACCCTCCAGTTCCCCACAAAAGTATACAGCATGGAACGCCGTCTCATCCTCCCCACAGATTCCACACCTTCCGCCCACAATTACCCCTCTGGTTCTTAAAACCTCCCCCGACGGTAGTATGCCATGCAAAAAAACGATACATTACCTCCCTTACCCTAGGCTTTAACTTCAACCTGCTAAACCTATACCAAATACTCGTCCATGCGTACATGGGGAACAATCCCTCAACTGGTACAACAATCCTGTCTGCAAGCAGCTTACACAAAACCCTACTCGAATTTTCCTGGGTTCTCTAACCACATCAAAGCTCTCAAAATAGTTTCACATTCCCTCAACTCCACACCACCATACAACTTACCCAACCTATCATGTACTTTTCCCAGCTGCCCTCCACTCACACCTTCGCGCAAAACCTCCCATTTAAGAAACACACATTTAATCCTCCTCCTCAGATCCATCAACCCCAACCCACCCTGGCGCACAGGTAACATTACAAACCTCTCTCCTCAGCCAATCGCACCTTGAACCCCACAAAAAGTTAAACACTCGTCTCAGAATTCCCACAATCGCCGTCCCTGTTAATGGGAACACGGCTGCTACGTGCCAAACCTTACTATACAATAATACGTTTATAACAATCACTCGTTGCACGAGAGTCAGATGATGAGGTCGCAATGCACCCAGACGCCCCTGAATCCTTTCCATTAATCTATTCGAGTTTTCCTCCCGAGCAGCTTCCAAATCACCCTTATAGGTGATACCACAAATTTTTAAAGACACCGGTTTGTTTTCTCACAACGTTACATCTCCCCCCCCCTCCACCCAATCACCCAACCCCATGATCATTGACTTCTCTCTATTTACCTGCATCCCTGTTGCATTTCCGAACTGTTGCACAACAGCATCCAAAACACCCAACGTCATCCCCTCCCGAACCAGGACTGTTGTATCGTCTACGTATCCTATTTTTCCCCGGGCCCACACTTTCCTACCCCACCCCCCCCCACCTCCACTCGTGTCACATACACAACGTTCAACCATTCTATAAAAGGGGGTCCTGAATGCACGCAAACAACATTTGTGACATGGGACACCCCTGCCTAAGTCCCCTACCCATTACAATCCCCTCCCCCAAGCATCCATTAATCTGTACCCTCATCTTGGCACCATTGTACAACGTGGTTACCCAATTAACTATTTCATCCCATAACCCTGCCTCCTAAGTATAGCTCCCAATGCTCCTCGTTCCACCCTGTCATAGGCCCCCTGCCAGTCTAAAGCCAACAACGCCGCCCTCCCTCCCCCCCTTTTGACTCCACAAAACTTCTCAGTATTCCATGACCCTCAATCATCGACCTTCCAGGCAAACCATACTGCGTTTTCGAAAACCACTCTCCCTACCACACATTTGAACCTATTACCCAAGACTTTAGCGAACAACTTATAATCAGCACATAACAGGGATATGGCACAGTACTCCTTGAGGGTGTGCTGCCCCTTACCCTTCGGGACCAACACATACAACTGCTGTTGCTTGCTTGTCCCCATCACACCCTTCTCCTTCATCTGATTAAATAACCTACCCATGAAACCCCTTATCACCTCCCAATGTTGGAGATAAAATTCAGCCGGGGAGACCGTCTATTCCCGGTGCTTTGCCTTTCCTCATTCCCTTAAAGCCAACTCTATTTCCTCCTCTGTTATTACCCCCCCTTAAAGCCTTTCTATCACTATTCCCTAAATTACACGTCACATACTCACACACCTTCTCTAAATCCACATTTCCCACCTTCCCACTTGTCCAATACCCTTCATACCATTATCCGCATACACACACATTCCTTTTGTAGTTAGTATCTCCTGACCCATTCTATAACCCCCGCCATCTCGTGTACCTCTAACCTCGAATAGCTGTAACCTGCTGTCTTTGTTTTGACGTCGCAACACACACGCCGATGGTTTGTCACCCCAAAGCACCTCCTCTACCCCTGCCCGCACCCTTACCGCTTGAAACCTCTCATTTTGTAACTCCCTCAGTCTCCCCTTGACCTCGACAATTTCATCCATAGGATAGTTGCCCCCCAGCCCCCTTCTCATAACAGCCCCCTTTCCTGTCCTCCAGATAATTTGAAAGCCCATATTTAAAATCATTTATACGTTTGCCCACCCCACATAATATTTCCTAATCCTTTCCTTAGCAACACAATCCCACCATTGTACGACATCTCCACTCCCTGTGCCTCCTCACTAAGCTCCTTCCATAGGACAGAAAATCCCTCTAAACCCCTCCCCATCACTCAATGCACTTATATTTAATTTCCAGTAACTCCTGTATATTTCTGCAAGCGCCTCCCACCCAACCTCCACCAACACTGCTCTATGATCTGACCATGCAACTTCAACAGTTTTGAAAGCTCTCACTACAACCCCGTGAGAAAGATACACTCTATCTAACCTCGCTGCATACCCTCTCCTAACAAATGTATGCCCTGTCTCCCACGCCCCCCCCTCGAATGCGTCTCTTAACCTAATATCCCTCAATAAATCTCGTAGGGCAACCGACACATAACCTGCCCCTTTGGGTTCCACATCAGCCCTCCTAATGACGCAGTTCCAATCACCTCCTACTATTGCCACCTCCGGTAATGCACGGAAAAAAAACACAAGGTCCTCGCACACAAACTCCTGCTTCACCTGTACATTATTCTCTGCAGGCGCATATACACTAATAAAAGCCACACGTTTTCCCATCCACAAACCATCTACGCGCAACACCCTTCCCCCTCCCCCCCCCCCCACTTCTCTGCGAAACAAACGGGCTCGCCTCCCTAATTAAGATACCCACCCCCCCTTTTAAACGGGAAGATGGCAGGGTTACCACCTGAAACCCCTCCATCTCCAACACCCTACCCTCCTTAAAATTGTGCTCCTGTAGGAACACAACATCCACTCTAAATTTATTCAGAAACTCTCTAAACCATACTCTCTTTACACTATTACACAAACCATTAACGTTTACTGTCATACACCGGAGGCCTATTAGAGTTTCCACCCCTGCCTCCTCTCTTCACTCTTCCGATGGCCACCAGAACGTGTGGGACCACTTGTCACCTGCACACTTCCCTCTCTCCCCCCCCCCTTCTTTCGGTGCCTCCTGTCATGGCCACCACTACCTTCACCTTCTGCCCATATTTGCTTCCCAGTCCTCTGCGCCGGCGTTAGGACATCATCTGAATCCGATGCAGCGGCTCTTTTTCTTGTGACAGGCGCATCCTCCATGGCTTGGTCTGGGGATGCCTCACAATGTACCTCTACCTCCACTGTACACAGTGACAAAGATCTCGGTGACACCTCAGTCACGCTGTCACTTTCCCTTCGTCCGAATAGTTCTGTTGTTGATGCCCACAGCCTTCACCTCATCTTCTACTTACCCTGCCAGGAGCAGCCACCTCCTCAGGCGGTGACAAAGGGCTTCAAAACCTCGGCTAATTCCTCCTCAATTTCAACACTTCCTCCTGTACTTTTTGCTCAACTCGATCCACTGGAAAATGTGTCTGGACCAGGTAACTGGTCAAGGGCCTCACCCTCTCCCCCAGCCTTATACGCCTCATCCACTATCTCGCTCCATAGACGACCACGCCCTCCTTCACGTCGTTGATCAACACCTGCTTCCCCTGGTGTAGAAGCGGATGTCTCCGCCTCTGGGCCAGGAGCTCGTTGCCGCTTCCCACACTCCGCCGCTATGTGATCATATTCCCCACATAGTCGGCAGGTACGCCTTTGCCCCGCGTATGACACCATGACCTGTGTCCTGAATTCCTTTAGGTACACGTAAGACGGTATGGGGTGTCGCAATGACATTTTTAGGTTAAAAGTGCCCTCCGGCATACCTGTGTAGGCACCCGACACCCACTTACCATGCTGGGCCAAATGAACAGTTCCGTATTCCTCAAATACGTTTCTGATATCTGCCTCATCCGCCTCAAAGGGGACATTACGCAATTTAATCCATGTATAATGTCTGGATACATCGATCATCCTCACACGCACAGCTGGTGTTGCATCAAGACTTACGTCCTGAAAACGGTTGACCAACGACTCGTAAACCGTTGCTGAGAGCAGTTTCACAAAAAATCTACGTGCTCCATTCAATGCTACGCCGTACAACTCTCCATCCTGAATGCCATACGTGTCTCTGATTATTTTAGGTAGTAATACCTGGGCTGAGGCTGGCGTTATTGCCCCACTGAGAAGTTCAACACCGACAGTGTTAATCCTGCGTCTGTAACTGCACGCCATGTTGACTAATAGTAGTTCTCCTGGTCTGACGACAGAGGCGCGACCAGCACCACCTCACACTACTGCTGTCAGGGAACTGAAGAGCGTTTGCGCAGGAGGTCTGCACGGCCCAATAGCGATGCAGACAATGACCTAAGAATTAACAACTGGGCGTCTACACTGCAAACTGAATTGTTTGCAATCCTAATGGCGCTAAAGCTAACCTATGACACTGAGCTTGACTCTATCATCATTACTGATTCTATGTCATCATTGAAGGCTCTTGGCTCATATAATGACTCCAACAACATGCTTATTGGGGAAGCCAGGTATAGATACTCAAAAATTAGGGACAAAGGAATTAATGTACAATTGCTATGGATCCCATCACACATTGGATTACTCCTTCATGATAAAGTTGATATGTTAGCCAAGAAGAGTATCGAGAAGGAGAATGTAGAATATAACTTTGGTATAACTGTGTCTAGCATTAGGAATAATATTAGGAGAGAAGTAAATAATGAAAATGATTGTTATAGGAATGCAGTTAGAAGCCTGAGTAGATCTATAACCCACTATGATAACATGAACGTAGATAAGTATGTTTATGGAGCAAACTTGCAATGTGAACAGACTGACTGATGTTGTAGTGGCCAGGCTTAGGCTTGGTTACAAGTACTTCTGGCAGTTTGGGAGACACACAGATGATGATCAAACTAAATGTAAATTATGTGATCAGGCATATGGTCACCCCTCTTGAACACTATGTGCTTAATTGTCCACTTATTGAGGAATACAGAGACAGACAGTATAATAACCTATGTGACATGTCAAGATATCTTATTAATGAAAATAAGATACCAGATATACTAAGCAAATTTCCTAAATTTGCTTGTAACAGATAAGTGAACTATAGATATGTAGATATAAATCCATATGTATTCCTGTTAACCCTTTGGGGCCTAGTTCCTAGGCCTTTTGTGTATCCATATGCTCTCGCGCTACCGTCCACAGGATGGATATGGGGTGCACAATAAACTAGCCACTTCGGTGGCAAAATTTAAAATCTAATCTTAGAAAACTTACCGAATCGTATTATAACAAGCGTAATTTAATTTAGCCTAATCCAGCTAAATATATTTTACATAAGTTTACAAAAATTTAATAATAAACAGGACTGCTAAAACGTTATGTTTGAAAATTAATAAAGAACAAATGAACGTCTTGCGCGATTTTGACGATGATGCTTGACTGAACAGGATTCAGTGTGAATGCTTTGAGAAGATTCCAGAGCAACGAGAGGACATCCCAGTACATCGTTCAGCGTAAATAATGGAAGTGTTGTACAGTTTGTGAGGGCTGGGTGTGGTGGTGAGAGTGTCCAGGTAGGGACCAGGCTGAACCTTCTTCCCCATGCCGCCGGGGAAAGCGGAGCGGGGTGTGCGGGTGAAGATGAAGGGAACACTGGTTTTGGGGAGTCACATGCCCATATCTTTCATGATGTGCTTGGGAAACAAATAAATGTTGTGTTTATTGTAGGCAGGACAGTGTGAACAACAGTGCGCAATCAGTGTGTAGGGAAGTGCCCCTCACCTTCCGCCCTGGGCTTTGCCCCGTATGTAGTAAACAGTGACTTTCTCATAACTCTTCACACCTACGCCTCAACCATTCAACTCCCCCGGCTCACACACCACCGAACTCCCAGCGCCACCCACAGGATGGGTATGGGGTGCATAATAAACATATTAAACTAACTAACTGCAGGGACAGCGCTGTGGAGTTCGACCGCAAGGCAGCTGTCAGGTTTGTCACAGGCAGTGTGCACTCAGTTCCCCCAAGCTTCAACATCCGTGAGCACGATGGATGTCTGGGCACCCGGAGGACTCAAGGTGGGAGCAACCAACAGCCCCTCCCAGCAGACATAGGTGACAGCTGCTGCACCTTCACCCTTACAGAGGGCCTGGGATCTGCAATCAACTTGGCGTCCGCCAGGACGTTGACACGTCCCCAGGGCAGCTCTCCCTTGGGCTGCTAGCGGAGTCGCTGACCTCTTGGACCTCTTAAGGAGGGTCGATGGTGCTCCTGCAAGCAGCAGATCCTGGTGTAGCCTTCTGCTGTTTGCAATGGCTGTCTGGCTGTCTTGCTGAGGAGGGAGAGGCACCTAGCAACATATGTTCTTGAAGCAATGGATGAATACCCTACAATTACTCTGTAATTTGTTCATGACTGTAACCATGTATGGACGTGTTTATGATTCATTACCTTTCTAACTTGTCATGACTGTGACCAGCTCTACCTGGAGCTCATTATCTTTGTAACTTGGTCATGATTGTGACCAATTCTAGTTCATTACCTTTGTAACTTTCAGCTATCAAAACTTTGAAGTCCAGTCCCTGGACCAATAATGTACCTCTGTAATTTTTTGACTACCACCCACAGGATGGGTATGGGGTGCATAATAAAGATGTTAAACTAACTAAAACTAGTGGGTAAAATGTCTAGAGAACATGAATGGGGTGATAAATTACTAGCAATCTATGCCTGAAACTCCCGAAGCCGAACACGATACAGATTTAAATGCTGCGGAATAAAACGTGGTTGAATACAATGTTTCCCCGACGGATAAAGAGGATGAGTGAAACCTCAAAATTATCTAAGTGTAGTAAAGGTATTTAGTAGCTGATTCTGCTAGAAAACCTAACTGAGAGACAGGAGTGCCTGGATCGCTATTAGCGGACGGGAGATAACGCCTCCAATACTCCCGTTACTAGAAGAACCCACTCTGACTGGCTGCTTCATATAACCACTAATAAAAAAAGTGCATTGATAAATGAGACACATGTACAACATTTGGTATATCATTTATTCAACTTGTCGGTTTTTCTAGAGATAAATGGTTATAATTATAACAATAATTTTTAAATGAGTAAAGGGGTAAGCCAGCGGAAGGCCTCAGTCAGATGACCGAAAGCTCCAATGGCGGGTCATCATCTAAGACCCACGTCAGGAAACACTTGTCCTGGTTTCCTGACGAACCTTCTTACCTAACCTAACCATGGTTTTCTAAACCAGTATACATTCTTTTGAGAACTACAAGTATTCCTAGATTATTATCTATCCCAGAGACTTGGAACTCAAGGAGCAGCCACAACCACTTAGAGAAATTTAGGGATTTTGAATGACTGTTGATAATTCAGTCATATAAAACAGCTAAGTGCTGCTTTAAGCTCATTGTCTGATCCTGGGAAAAATAATTATTTATTAATAAATTCAGTAGAGCCGTGTGGTTAATAAAGGTTCATTGCTCACAACGGAATTAAAAAAAATAAATTAAGAACTGAGAAGTTTTTTTAAAAGCAATGAAACTGTGAGTCAAAAGCTGGTTAATCCACACGGTGGGGTGTTAACTGCAGAGTTTAAGTGGTAAAAATTATTTTTTGGTGTGGTTAGTGTATGATATTTGTGCTACTTATGTTTGGGTAGTTATGATTCTTATGGGGTGGTGATTATTATGTTTGTAGCGTAGTAGTTGCATGAGTAGGTATAGTTATTACGAAACGATTCAGTTATACAGTAGGCTTCACCAGTCGAGCACCGAGGAGAAAACAGAAGGGAAGATGCAGAGACGATGTATCAGTCCATCAACCCTCGAAGAAGCAGGTTTGAGGTGTTCACTCCCTCACTTTGGAGAAAACTTTCACTAGACACAGTGCTCCATAGTCTATGAAGACCTCATCACGAAGCTGAGGGACTGACTGTCTCAAAACTTATTTCGTCGAGGGTGATGGACTGATTACATCATCTTTACAACCCGGTGTGGAGATTGTGATGTTTGTGGGGTGGTAGTTATGTTTGTTTGGTGATAGTTGTGATGTTTGTTGTGTGGTAGTTATGATGTTTGTGATGTTTGTGTTTACCTGGAGAGAGTTCCGGGGGTCAACGCCCCCGCGGCCCAGTCTTTGACCAGGCTTCATGGTGGATCAGGGCCTGATCAACCAGGCTGTTACTGCTGGCTGCACGCAATCCAACGTACGAGCCACAGCCCGGCTGGTCAGGTACCGACTTTAGGTGCTTTTAAGGTGTGTTTGTTGTGTGGTAATGATGTTTGTGGGGGTAGTAGTTGTGATGTTTGTACAGTGGGGGTTGTGATGTTTGTATTGTGGAAGTTGTTTGTGAGATGGTAGATATAATGTTTGTGGGTTGGTAGTTGTGATGTTTTGGTGTGGTAGTTATGTTTGTGGAGTGGTAGTTGTGATGTATGTGGTGTGGTAGTTATATGTTTGTGCTGTGATAGTTGTAATGTTTTGATGTTTTAGTTGTGTTGTTTATGGTGTGGTAGTCGTGATGTTTGAGGTGTGATGCTTATGATTTTTAACAGTGGTAGTTGTGATGTTTGTGGGGCGGTAGCTGTGATGTCCGTAATGTAGTAGTTGCAATGTTTATGGCTAGCAACAATGGCCACGTGTTTTGGCCAGTCTAGAGAACTTGCAAAACTTGTCCAGCTGTTTTGGCTTTTCTGGATAGCTAGCAACAACGAACAGGCTGTTGTGATTAGTTAGAGGCCTAATCACAGTGTGCAAAGCTGTTCTAGCCAGTTCTAGAAAACAGTTAGTTCTGGATTGGATGAGGTTCTGGCCACAATGACTTTGTCTCCCACAGCGAGAGGTCCTGTGACATCAATAGCCATGTTGATGCCGAAGAGAGGACTCGTAGCCCAAGCTTTGGCCAACTTGGCTGGCTCGCTTATTGTACGAAACCTAAAGCAGAAGAGACATTAAAAATATAATCTGTGAGACTCATCTCATAACCGTTACAAATAATACAGACTAATCTAATAATATTGACTAGAATAATATTACAAATAATATAAACTAATCTAATAATATTACTAATGATATAGATTATAATACTAATATTACTAACAATATAGACTAATATTACTCAAGTGTAGGCCACTCTCCATGCTCCAAGAGCTTTATCATACCTCTTCTTAAAGCTATGTATGGATCCTGCCTCCACTACATCACTTCCCAGACTGTTCCATTTCCTGACAACTCTGTGAGTGAAGAATTACTTCTTAACATCAGTGTGATTCATCTTAGTGTTCAGCTTCCAATTGTGTACTCACCTAATTGTACTCACCTAATTGAGGTGTAGTAGTTGTATTGTTTGTTGTGTGGTAGTTATGATGTTTGTAGGGGTAGTAGTTATGATGTTTGTAGGGGTAGTAGTTGTGATGTTTGTACAGTGGGGGTTGTGATGTTTGTATTGTATTGTGTGTGTGTGTGTGTGTGTGGAGGAAGGTCCGGTGTGATGATGTGAGTGTGTGATCTTAACTGAGACCTGAGGAATAGAAATGGTACTTCACTACTTAATACTCACGAGCGGAGAGTATTGAGAGGTTCTTGTTTGGGATGTCGCTTCCCAGTGATTGGATCCACCGTCGTCAGTAAACATCTGTACTTGGATAAATAGAGGCAAACGTAAGAGCTAAATCGTCAGTCATGAGAAAACATAAATGTTAACTCTCAGAGGGAGACAAACAACATTTAATATATTGAATGAATTCACTTTTGTTCTTTTAATTAGACGACATTTAGATAATGAAAACGTGTCCTCGCTATTTATAAAATTAGTATCCTTCAGTAGCAGGCAAATATATTTAAGAAGAAAGTATTTTAAATTATCGCTTCCAGCTATAACGTCTCAGTGGTAGACATTGACTATTATGCTGGAAGGAGCGAGAAGTTAGGTAAAGAGCAGGTCGAGTGTTTCCTGACTCGAGTGCTAGTTACCATTTTTTGTCCTAGGCACATATCGATTAGACAGTGTTAATCACATGATGAGAGGCCGCACAGTATGACCTCACCTCTGGCAAGGTTTCACCGTCCTGAAGACTACACAACCAATCTTAACGTATGCCCAGTCGTCCTCGTCTGATGGCGGGGCGCCCCTGACAACAATATTAGTTCGGAATTGGCCCATTGTGACCGGCTCCGATAGGCGAGAGTTCAAGACCGCCAGTGATGACTCCGACGCAATTACGTAGGCACTGTTCTGCGCGTAGTACAACTGCTCATGGATTACATAAATCTATTACACTCTCATGATGAAGGTGTGTATCAGGAGGGAATATATTTAATGGGTATGTTACACTTACATGATACAGCTGAGTGTCTGATAGGTGAATATTGGACATTACATTCCATTTTAGTACAGTCGTAAAGGTGCACATAATTAGGTACTTTAACTCACTTTGTCAGAGTCCAGGCTCTTTGGAAAGTCGTAGTAATCAAGCCTGCGGGCTGGTCTATCCTTCACTACATCTCCCCGGTACAGTAATCTGAGTCTTGTCCTTCCTTCCGAGACGAACTGAGTGAGAAAACTGGCCACCTCCTCTCCACAGTCCACACCACTCACATGCTGCTTCCACACTCTGCAGGTCAACATAGAGGCTACACAAACACCATTGTTGTTGGATTACTACAAGGTGCAAAATTAATGCTATAAACATCAAGGCTTTAATAATATTATTGTAGGAGTTCGCTGTGCGTGGAAAAAATTCTGTTCAATTGCTAGCCTCTTCCTGTCTTAAATTTAGTTTGTAATAGGGTGTCCTGTGGTTCGGTTGGTAGCACACTAAGCTCATATACTGAGGGTCCGTGCTTCGACCTGCTGCACCTGTTCACCTAGCAGTAAGTAGGCACCTAGGTGTTAATCGACTGTTGTGGGTTGCATCTGGTGTAGACAGTATACCTACCCAATATGTTTCTTATATCTCTTACTAGGGAAGTTGCCTGTTATCGAGAGCACCCACCAGAGGGCCGGCACTGAGGTCTGTCCTTGTGGGTGGCTGTCGGCCTCACTGACACGCAGCCTACCGAGAGAACATCTTTTCCTCCCTTGAGCATGATCTTGGCTTTTTGCAATCCTCGGTCGCATCTGTCTGAAAGAACCCCTACGCTAATAAACTACGATCTAATCTGCAAGCATTCGTCTCTCAACCTGCGGCTGAGAGGACGCTTTCTGAGCCTGCTCCTGCTTACACCTGGTGGCGAACCGTGTACTACAGTAAGCAAGATGGCGGATCGTCATGGTAGAAGAGTAAACACGGTCTGTGTTGAATTCATTCGTGGCTCTCTCAGTGGTGCAACGATGCATGTCTTGTTGCCTACCATTATCCGCGACATCTACGGCATCCCCACTGAGGAATTATATGGTGTGGCTCTCAATGGGATTTCGAGGTTTTTCGTAAAATTCGCAAATGCCGGCTTTTACTCCAAGATTGTGGAAGCTTTTCAAGAGAGGAAAATGGCGGTGAATTCAGCCGTAGAGGTATGCCTGCATGACGTCTCCACATACGTCCCCTGGGTCAAAGTAAGGAACGTGCCTTTCGAGGCAGAGGAGTATGTTATTCGGAAAGTTTTTGGTAGATACGGTACGGTACATGCAGCGACCAAGGGAGTGTGGAGGGAGGGCCCATACGAGGGGCTCCCAGAAGGCTCCTGCACCCTCAAGATGACATTAAAACAGCCGATTCCATCTTACGTTCATCTAGAACACTACAGGACCCAAGTTTTTGTTCACTATGCGGGCCAACGGAAGATATGAAGGTTATGCAACTCGTATGACCATATGGCTGCTCAGTGCTCCAGACGCCTGGTTGTACGCATCCGGGAACCTTCTCCTGTGGTCCTAAGAACCGAGGCCTTTGATCTGGAGACTAGTCCCTCGCCTGAACAAGGACCAAATCTTTGGAGTGAGGAAGTACAACTAGAGGAGACGCGGTCTATGGTGTGTGCCACCCTGTCGGTGGACACTACAAACGTGCCCATGCCACCTGTGGGGCCTATGGAGCCTGTGGAGTTGTCACAGGAAAGTTTGCTGGAGAACGTGCTAAACGATCTCCTGGATGGGGCAGAGCATAGCCCAGACATTCCACCTGAGTGTCAAGAAGTGGTGAAGGATGATTTGCCAAATATGGAAGACCTGGACATGACTACAATGACACGGTTGCATGAGGTGGTGGTGGAAGTCCACCAGGAGGCTTCGTCTGGTGAGATGTGTGTGGAAGGTGGTTCCCGCAAACGGACGGCAGGAGTGTCGGATATGGACGAGGTCCTGACACCGGGACAGCGTCCAGGGAAGAAATTATGGTCGAAAGTGGCTGAGGAGCCTCTTGAAGACGGGGTTGTGGCAAGCGCCCAGCATATGGGTAGGGCACGGGGGGTGAGGGGGGCCTTGGGAAGTCAAAGGTCAAAGAAGGTCAGTGTAATGTACGTGTGGGAACGGGAAAGACCCACAAACATAGAGGAAAACCTCCTTTTGTGAATTCAAGTGTGTTACCATCAATGTAAATGGCCTGTGGGCAGAGTTTAAGTGTGTGTGGATGGAGTGGTTCTTGCGCAGGTACGCCATGGATGTATGTTTCATACAAGAACACAATTATAAGTTTGGGTGAGAGTTACGGTTAAAAGGCTACCGAATGTATGTTAGCAGTTCTTTAAAATTAAAGGGTGGGGTAGCTATAGTAGTGAAGGAGTCCAGCCCTTGGCGTGTCTTGAGATGGGAGGAGGGGGGAGATGGGAGGGTGGTGAGGGTAGATGGGTACTGGGGTGAGGTGAGGGTTTGTTTTATTGGCATTTACATGCCTGCGGAAAGCAACACTAAAGTTAAAATAGAATTTGTGAGGGAGGCTTTAACGTTTTACACTCGGGGTTTGCCATTCATTACCGTCATGGGTGGGGATTGGAATTGTGTTATCCGCCATGGCGATGTTGAGCCAAGGGGGGCGGGGTGCGTTTTACTTGTCTTACAGAATCTGCCGGGGGATGCAGGGGTTTATGATGTGGTGGGGCGGGGTGGGGGGGGGGTGAAGCATACGTTCATTTGCAGGGGCTATGCTGCCCATCTGGATAGACTTTATATAACACAAGGAATTAGAGTTGGGCATGTACAGACCTTTGATGTGGGGTTTTCAGATCACCGTGCAGTGCTAGCAGACTTGGACTGGGATGGAATGATCAGGGTTTATCCAGGTTATTGGAAACTGAACGTGCGGCTATTGGAGGGGGAGGGGAATGGGTCCGCTTTTCAGGACTGGTGGAAGAATATCTGGGAAATGCGACGGGCAGGTGAATGTTTGTTGGAATGGTGGGAAACGCATGCCAAACCTGGGATAGCGAGTTATTATAAGAAGCGGGGAAAAGAGGAGGCGAGGTGGGGGTTTATGGGCTGCAAAACTATCTGGAGGGGCAGCTAAATGATTACTATGTGGGGGCGGGAGTAGTAGGTATGACGACATTGAACATCTTTGTAGTCGACTTGCAGAAATTCACAATGAACGTTTCAATGCGGTTAGAGTCAGAGCAGGTATGGAAGAAGTGCTATGGGGCGACAAACCTTCGGGTTGTGTCTTGCTCAAATTTAGGGTCAGACAACAGGCGACATCCCTCTTGCAATTGGAAGTATGCACGGGTTTGGGTGGTTACCTGCCGGGTCAAGTACTCCTCACCACGGACAGCATGAGTTTTTATGCTGATCTATGGTTTGGGGAAAAGCTACGGCAGGGAATAGCGGGGGTCCATGTGGGTGGCCTGGTGAGGAGGGATTTCAGAAAAGTTATAAGTGACAGGGATAGAATGGTACTAGAAGGTAGAATTCGAGTGGAGGAGGTAGAGGAGGCGATTTTTAATATGAGTAAAGGAAAGGCACCAGGTATAGATGGCATTTCGAATTATTTTTATAGGGCGCATTGGAGAAGTATTAAGCATTGTTTGGTTGATGTATTAAATTGCATGCTCACGGAGGGGAGGTTAGGTATGTCACAAAGTATGGGGGTAGTTGTGTTGGTGCCCAAAAAGGAAGGGGGGAGGGGTCTGAGTGCATATAGAGCAATATCTCTTATGTGCTTGGGCTATAAAATCTTTGCAAATGTTTTAGGAAACAGAATGAGGAAGGTTATGGGGTTGGTTATTCACGAGGGAGAGCTAGGCATACCAGGCAGGAGCATGAGGGATGGACATGTACATATTAGGGAGTTTTTGGAGGAATGTCAAGGGGGGGGTGTCCTCGGGCTTGACTGGCAAAATGCTTATGACTGTATTGATAGGGATTTATTGAGGCTTATTTTATTGAAGCAGGGTTTTGGAGAGGGGATTGTAAGATGGGTTGATACCTTGTATGTCTCAGCTATGGTACGCGTACAGGTAAATGGTAAATTGGGGCAGCTGGTCCATATGGAAAGGGGTTTGAGGCAAGGGTGCCCCCTCTCCCAGCTGCTTTTTGCTTGTATGCAAAACCCCTTTTATGAGCTGGTGGATGGTGGTTTGAGGCGTGGAACTCTGAGCAGTGACCATGCAGCACGTGTGGTCGGGTACGTAGATGATACCACGATTTTGTTAAAAGAGGAGGAGGATTTGCAGATCGTGGGATGGATTGTTGAGTTTTTTTGGACAGAGTCTGGCATGTGTGTCAATAAGGCAAAATCGAAATTATTGGAGGTGGGTATATGGGTGGGGGGGAGGTTGGGCGAAAGGTATGGGTGGTCAGTCATGGTGCAACTTAGAATATGTGGTATCGTATACATGGCAGATGAGAGGGAGGGCTGAAGGGTAAACTCTGAATTGGTGGTTAACTAGACTTTAGATCGACTTCGGGGGTTAAGAGCTGGGGATGTCTCGTTGCAACAGAGGACAGTAGTGGTTAATACACTTGTTTATAGTAAGGTATGGGGTGTGGCTGAGGTGTACCCTTTAAGAGATATGGATATTCAGGAACTGCAGGGAAGGGTCTTACGTTATGTTTGGGGTTTCAGGAGAGCTTGGTTAAGCTGGGAGGTTGTCATGGCCCATGTTCGTCGTGGGGGTTTAGGTCTCTTGGCTTTGGGGCCACGGGTGAAGGCCCTCTATGTAAAGCAGCGGTTCCTCAGGGCGGGCGGTGAGAAGGGCATCCGGGTGGGTCAGGTAATGATCGAAATGCGTAAATGGTGGAGCGGCAGGGGATTAATAGAGTGTGAGGACATGCTGCGTTTGTTGTTAAAGTTGAGAAATGTGCAACAGATCCGGGTGGGGCAAATGGTCAGCATATGTTGTCGTGGGGAAATTGTACAGGGATTGTCTGTTTTTCCGCTGTATAATTGGGGGTAAATATGGGAAGGATTTTGTAAACTTAAGTTGGCACCAAGGGTTCGTGAATTGGTGTACAGATTTGTCATGGGGATTTTAGCATCAAAATCGGTCTTAAATAGGATGGGTTTGGTAAAGGAGGCGGATTGCTTGCGTTGCGGTCTCAAAGAAACAGCTTTTCATGCTGTCTACTTTTGTGATACCTTGGACAAAGTTCGTTCGTGGTTGGGGCGGGTTTTAGATTTTCTTAGTGGGGGAAGTATTTCAACCTTACGGGCCTTAACATTGGACGTTAGCGGAGTATCAAGTGAGGTACGAAGAGCAA